CGTCACGCTGCATGCTACTCGCATCAGAGCCCGATTAATTTGACGCTCTAATCGTTGCAGCGACTACGGGAGGCTCAAACGCTAGCGTAACGCTAGAGCATTGTAGGGTACGCCAGCTTGGCGAGGGCAAGGAGTGCATAATTATCGATCTATCGTTTCACCAGCGTTTCACTAGCGTTTGCAGCGGCGGGGACTAGAGACTATGGGAGAGCAGGAGGGTAGAAAACAGTTCAATTGCGCGTGCTGTAATTGCGGCATGAGTAGCCGCACCGCGGTACTAATACCGTAGACTAAATTGGTTTATTTGCATAATTATGTGGTTTAGCTGTTAGACTGGAATGTTTTTTTTCACTGGCGCACCTGAATTGAATTAAACTATGGAAACGCTGGCTTTTGCAAGTACCATCTCCCTTTTTAGGGCTGATCTATTGGAGATTGTGCTATTTTTTGGGACCTTTTAGTAATTCGTATGAACGGTTTCTGGTTGAATATACAGCTGATAAATACATGCTCATTCTTACGAAAGATCCTAGATGGTCTCACGCCTATTGTAATCGTCATGATGGTATTTGGTTCATGATTTGCATCTATGCGTTATGCAATTCAACCATTGCATTATGCAATTTAAGCAATTCAGTGTACGGTATTAGTACTGCGGTGCGGCCACACACGCCGCAATTTCACAGTACGCACAATCGAACTGTTTCCTACTCTCCTACTCTCTCATAGTCTCTACGAAACGCTGGCGAAAAGCTGGTGAAGCGCTGAAAACGCTAGATCGATACCTATGCTTTCCTTGCCCTCACTGTGCTAGCGTACGTTAGAATACTCCACCGTTGCGCTAGCGTACGCTGGTGATGGTAGATCCATATCGGTCCTTTACCTGCCACTGCCGCTGGCGAACGCTGGAAACGCTAGCGTACGCTACCGCAAAGTATGAACGCGGCCTAACATCATCTCTTACTACTTGTTATCTTCGCGTGCATACTTACAGCGTCTCTTAGCATACGTGAGCTCACGTAGTGCAACATTAGAGCGTCAAATTAATCGGGCTCTGATGCGAGTACCATGCACGTGACGCCATTTGCAGCGCCTGTTTTGCCGCCCTAAGTGCCTCTGGCGCGCTAAATTGTACCCAAACCTTGCGAATACCCTGTAGTTCAAAGTATCCGCAACATGGATCAGATACAACGTCGATCGTGCGGCCCTGGAGACGAGCGATCGTCGCGCGACTCCAACGGTCTGTCAACTGCTGTCACAAATTCTTATGCAGCTCCGCTTGATTGGTGTTGCGCTGCGTCCATATTTTGCGTCAGCGTACGCCAGCGTTCCGAGCGTATGCGAGCGCCAGCGACCAGGAAATTATGGATATTGGTCAGGTGACAACCAAGGTCCACCAGCGTGCGCCAGCATATGCTAGAATACAGCAACTCTGCGGGCAGTTTGCTCAAGCTCAAATGGCCCGCGAATATGTTGGCATTCGTTAGATCGATACTTATATTTCCCTGGTCGCTGGCGTACCTTGACGCTGACGCAAAGTATGAACGCCTCGAATGAACTCACTCCCGATGGCCGTCAATCTTCTGCTTACAAGAAGCATTGAATGTGCGATGTCCTGGCGCTAGAGGGTCACGCATTGACGCTACGCGCGAATCGAGTTTTTGTGAAAGTCGATGCTTATGAGACAAGTCGTGTTATTCATGAGTCATCATGTGTAAAGCAGCGGAGTACTTCCTAGCTAGTTGACCCGGCAGAAAGCAGCACTGCCAACTGGGTCGGGTGCTGGTGCGAATGACCCCGTCGGCAAGTATTCTGCAACACGACTCAGTACCAACAATGTATTTCTAGACCTGAAAATGAGAAGGATTTTGTCACCTAAAGCCGGCCCTTCTCAGTTGCAGTAACCTCAAAAATCTGCTGAGGAGAGAATGCATACCAAGTATGGGTTAACTGGTGTCCATCTCCGCCCACGATACAGTCGCTGAGTACCTCCAAGTACATCACATCAATATTGGCGCAGTTCGGCGGGTGGGGGGTTTCCACACATAGATTACCTACCGATCTTCGGAGAATTGTCGAAAAATAACCATGCAGTAGCATGAGCTTTGTCTTTATTTGACAGGAGTCTACAGGTCTCACCAGAGTGAAACGTACTTTTACAAGAACTAGCAAAAGAAATTGGTGTGCAAAGTACCCCTCCTAGGCCGAACAGCGCTCTATTTTTGCTTTTTATTGAGCTCCATCTGTGCGCACGTCTATGTCTGTTATTTAGGTTTGAAGAGTTCTCACAACTGCTGATGCACAAGTATGAAATGGCACAACAGGTCACTGTTGCCCCTCATGGTACTACGTTGATGGTACGCGGGGCACTGTTGGACGGAAAACGAACAGAGCGTCATCTGAAGGACAAGGGTGATAAACATAAGGTGAGCAGAGAAGTTTATCCATTTTTCTCATATTTCCATAAGATGATTTAATAATGTTATCTAGGCGGCAAAAGGTGACCTGGTCTACTTGGACTCCTCACCTGACAACTGTTCGGTCGACACTCGGGGTCGTCAATGTGGAAATAACTGCGATGAGATTTGTTGCGGTCGAGGTCAGTCATTGCTATTTTATACTTCACTGGTTTTTCCCTCAGCAACTGCGTATGCTACGCTGACTCCAAATGCTTTCACCTGTAGGTCTATGGTGCTACCTAGTAAGTCCAAAACGTCGCAGTTGGGGATGGTCTCATATAGCAGCGGGATTCTTATGTTCGGTTGAACCGACTGATAATCCCAGCACACGTTGTGTACTCCCGCCCACCACTCTTAGGGAAGGTGGCACGATAAGTTCGCAAGACGTGTAGGATGCCAGCAGAACTGAACTCGACGCCCTTCAGCAGAAGCTGTGTTACGCCAGGGAATAGTCCCCATAGCGCACTATCGAGTTGCAATACGCCGACTCGGATGCCTCGCTCCCGCCCGCCCACAATGTCCGAGTGATGCTAGTGCTCATATGCAAGTGAATGTAAAGTGAAAGGTTTGATATGAAGCGGCGGCTGCGGTGCAGTGGATATATGCAGTAGCATGTGGTGCAGGCCTACCTACCGTAGCGATTATTGGCCCGATGCTATGGGGATCTCGTCCGAAACTGATTTCTGAGTGGTGTAGGACAGAGGCTCTTTTGCAGATTCTCAACCGTTTCACTTCGTTTCTTCGCCATTTCCCCTCTCTATACCACTCCTGATACCATTTTAGGTCGAATACCAAAAAATTATGTCTTATGCCTTTTTTCAGGCTGGCACACAGTAAGAGAAGTGGTGGATGAGCCCTGCCAATGTCGATTTATTTGGTGTTGTGATGTCAAATGTAAAACTTGTAAGAAGATAGTTGATCGTAACTTTTGTCGTTGAATTCTCTTCAGTTTTTCGTACTCTACTATTTTCTGGATTGTGCCACTATTTCGTGCATTTGGCCACGGTTTTCCATGCACGTTCGCACATCGCGATCGCGTGATCTAGCGATCCGATTGACGACTCATATCAGTCCAGCGATCGCGAAGTATGAACGCGCTCGTATCCGCCTAGCGACCTCTCACACTAAATGGATAATAACGCTGGATTTCTATTTAAAATATTTATTTTGAGTAAGATTTGTATATGCATGCCAATGCCCTAACGTCTCTAACAATGCATTTTAAAGACCTGATCTGATCAATCGAATCTCATTCATTTAATCGTTCATTCATTAATTTTTTTCTCATGTTGAAAAGGCTAGTAGGTTGCACATATTGATATATTTAATAATGTAAATGTTTAATAAATTACTGCGATGATGCGGCTCTCAGGTTCTTTTTCGGAATGACATGTGGAGTGAATGCTGAGACCGCGTTCACATTGTGTCTTGAGCGACCGCGGACTTCCGCAGATCATTGGATAAAATTGCCTCCAATTTAACCGCTTTCGGGAGAGAAGCATTTGATCGTTAGAGCCGGCCCGATTAGCTCAAGCTCAGCAGTGGACGAAATTGGAAGGGGGAGTGGCGTGTTTCCTGTAACTTCTTCCCGGCGGCAGAACGTGTCCTTAAAGTGTCCTCTTGCGAAAAGTCAGCATGCGGACAAAAAAAAATGGGACCAGCTCACCAGGATTGGCCGTTTAATCAAGCTACCTACACCTCTTTGAGAGAAAGAGACGGTGTAGTGCTCAAGGAACCATGATGTGGAGCCGTTACTGTTTACGTAGCTTTATCGTAGCCGTTTTTTCGAAGGGGAACTACCATTGATGGGAATAGGGTTTACCGTTCCAAATCTCATCTACGTGAAGAAACCTCCACCCAATCTCCGATACAGGGCACATCGCTGTTGGAGATCTCATGGCATCTCCCCCCCCCCCCCCACTCGACAGGAAAATTTTTGGGCAAAAGCAGGGAAGTTTCCAGAGAGTTTTGGAAAAAGCAGGCTGGGTTGGGGAAAATTAAGAATTTGTAGAAGGGGGAGGGGGTCACATTGTTCGCGGCTTTTCCTGTTTCACTTGTGTTATTTAACGCCTCCCCCTTCCCCCCCCCCTCCCCTTCCCCAGTCGACTGCTCGATTCGATTGAGGAGGAACAGAGGGCCGGAGGAGGGGGGGGGGTCGTACGGATTCGACCGAAATCCTCAACCAGTGATGTGCCCTGCTCCGATAAACCCTGTAGGCAAAGCCGTTTTTGCCTGCCACAACAACTGGTGTAGAAAGGGTTTGGTAGCGCGCCCAAATTTATCCCGTCTAACATGCCCCTTGATCGGCAGCAAACAAGTTTCTAGGCAGTGAACACGGGTCGTGCCGACAGGAAGAGTTTGAAGGTAGTCGTTTTTCCCGGAATTTTTCCACAACGTGATGAGGTGTTCTGGTAGCAAAATTTGTTTATTGTGAGTTCTACTCATAGAATACCTTTTTAAAATTGATTCGATCGGAGCACCAAATATGTCAATTGACCCTAGTTGGACAAAGCTCAACGAGTAATAGGGAGTTATTAGGTCATCCTATTCAAAAGTGCCGTCGGTTTCTTTTTTCGAAAAACACAAAGAGGAGAACAGTTTAAAAAAGTAATATTTTAACTTCAAGTTAAGTGAATCCCTCCTTCACCAATGACCCGCTTTCAGTGCCCGAAAGCCTTTGGACTTCTGGTACCTTCGATTTTTCAACAAGAGGCGAGTACATTGCTGTTGATGCCAATTTCGGCTAATGACAAAACATTGTAGCGTTTGCCGTCGGAGAGCACTCTCGAATGACGAGAACTAATTGCAATCGCTGCGTCTTTATGTCGGGCGAATGGGGGCGATTGAACCCAGGTCTCAAGTATTGTTTTGTGGTCCAGCACTGCCCTACAGTACATTTACTACGGGTCTGGCACTAGGACGAGCAACGGTGGCTTTCTTGTAGTTTGTGTGGTACCGATCTATTTGTCGATCTCATTGAAGAGGATCAGCAATATCACCGACAGCTTACAATTTTTTTTTTTCTGTGTAGAGTCGCCTAAAAGCCTCAGTGTAAGGAATCCTTCGCTATGATGATCATCCACTTGCGCCACGTATCCCCTAAGAAATGGGCGGCCTCTCATCTTGCATTCATACAAAATTGACGATTGTGTGTTTCGGCTCGAGGTTCAAGACCACCCATATTTCATCTAGAGGCCGGGATGCGTTTTCACAGTCGTAATGCATCTTATGCGGAGAAAATACTGCTAGAGGTACAGAATAGGTACTGAGTTCATGCTTCTACAAGAAAATTAGGTACCCATGCGCACACCCTCTTGACCATCCTCAGTCCACGGACATAACTCGGGCAGCAGTTGCAGCTGGGATGAAAGATTCGCGGAAGCTCGACAAAGGTCCAGTTTCTAGGATCAGACATCCAGCACTTGACTTCATCCACCTTTTTTCTTGTGAAGGATGAACATTATGGGACCACCCATGACAACAAATTTTTTCCTTTCTTCCTTCTTCGGGCTCCTGAACCAAAGCTTCCACTTGTATTTCGAGAACATTACACACAACTACTTGTCCAGCCAGTCGAATTTGAGTAGCGCACGCCCCTCTTATGACGGCTGATTTAAAATCGGGTGCTGGTGATTTCATCACTCGGGCTTCTTTGTTCAATTTCTCGAGACTTCTCTGTGGGTAGCTTCGCCAAATTTCACAGATACATGCTAAAGGTACTAACCTGCAAATGTATAGTAGCCGCTTCCCTAACCCCTTTGCTTTTCTGCCATTCCTCTATATGTAACAGCACTTTTGAATTTAATGCCCTATAAGAATTCTCGCTCATCGCACATCTCACAAACCCGGTCAGAGCCAGGTTGGAACCTGAAAACTCTGACATGACTTGTAACCAGACGCGTTTGAACAGGTCAGAATTGATACCTCGCAAGTTTTTAAACTCTTATCATTGAGATAATACTTCATTGTTCTCCCTTCGTCCAGACGTCATCCAGAGACCATGAGATCTCTGTTTAAAGTTTTTTTTTTCTGGCTCTACCATTCCTCTTTTCCGCTCTCTTTCTCTCTTGAAACTACTGGGACTACCCGGTCTTGACTCATGCATGTTTTCTGAAAGGAATCTCACTGTAACTTCCAATTCTCGATTTGGTAGTTTTTCAGATGCTCTAAGTATTCACATTCATAGTTGTATTGTCAGTGTTGATTATGGATACGAAATCCGGTATCCGCACATTAAGGTAAGCAATTAACAAATATACTCATTGTTTAGTTTATGTCAGAGTTGATTGTTTTCACTTTCAAACAGTGTACATTATTGTTGGGAGGGGAGCGATCGTTGGCACGATCACGTTGCATTTGACGCGTTCTGACAGGTGTAGGTCCTTACAAGTTAATAACTTGCGAATCGGTGAACTATAGAGCTCTCTGTGAGTTACACCCCAGAGTGACTATTGGCTGTTCTGCTCATGATGAAGTTAGTCTTCTTCTAATGATTAGGGAAAATACAGTTTGGAAGTTCGGACGAGTTGCTGCACCTGGACTCGGTTTGCCTGACATTGTTGACGCGTAGGCGACAAAAAAATCGCTCCAAACGACATAAACCCGTTGGGCAGAGTACATCGAAGTAGTATTTGGTTGGCGGGTGGTCGTCAGTGCAGGGTTGTTAGCCTGACGCGGAAGGTAAGTTTACAACTATGAACGCTCACTGGGACTTGGGCCGATGCGTAACGCTAGCTTACGCTGGTGACGCTGGGAACGCTAGATCGATATTATCCAGGGCACAGCATTATTTGGGGATTTTGGTAGAGCCCGTACGACACCCCCGCTTTTTGGAGGTTCGGTACGACCCCCCTCTTTAACAATAAACTTATGAAGTTCCTTCCCCCCCCCCCCCGAGGAGGAAGAAACTTCATAAGTTCTTCTTCTTCTTCTCCCTAGCGTAGTCCCGCGCCGTCGCAGGGTCCGCTGATCTTGTTAGACGTCGCCACTTGTTCCGATCCACTGCATCTTCTGCTGTGGCTTTCACTTCAGTGAGGTCCTCTTGATGACGTCCCTTCATCTTTTCCTTGGGGCTCCTCGTGGTCGCTTGCCCTCTTACCTCGAATTCCAATGCCTTCCTTATTTGGTGTTCTTCGGCCTCCTCAGTATGTGACCGTACCACGCAGTCGCTGCTCTCGTGCCTTCAGCTGATAGGAGCCGTCTGTGTGACTGCTCTGACGTCCTCGTTTCTGACTCTGTCGAGTCGTGTCCAGCCGCAGGCCCATCCTCAGCATCCTCATTTCAGCTGAGTGGAGCTTGCTTTTTCATGGTTCTTGCATATAGGCCAGCACTCGCTGCCGTAGAGCATTGTAGGCCTTACACAGCCCGGTACACCTGCCCTTGAGCGTTCTCGAGCACGCCGGTCGCACCAGGATACAGTGGACCCCTCCATTTTAATCCAAGCTGCGTTGATTCGAGTCTTCACAGCCTGGTCCACGCTTGCCTTTCAGCTGCTAGGTTTGCTTCCCAGGTACTGGAAATCCTCGACCCTTTCGATGCTCTCGCCATGGCGACTACGATGACTTCGGCGCACTTTTCGGAGCTTTAGGAACTTGGTCTTCTTTACGTTGCAGCGGAGTCCATTCGCAGTGAGCACCATCCTGCCACCGCTGCACCTTGTCCTGAAGTTCCTCCCTGCTGTCCGCTATCAGGGCGATGTCGTCAGCATAGAGGATGGTTCTCAGTGGTCCCTCCCATGAGTTCTTTTGCCATGACATCTAGAGTCAGGAGGAGGAGGAACGGCTTGAGGGCTGACCTTGGTCCCCAACCGTAATGTTAGCGCTCTTTGTGCGTGAGGGGTGCTTACAGCTGCTTTAGCGGCCCATCGTAACATGTTCTTCACTAATGGAGATGAGGTGTTCCGGAACGTTACGTTTTCTGAGGCGCTCTCCAGAGTACG